AGCTCCAACCGTTTAATTTGACTATTTTCATGGAAAAAGTGTTGTTTCTTTGTTGTGTTTTTTGTTTGTTTGTTGTTTTTTTGTTGTTGTTGCTGTTTTTTATGTTATTTACAGTGTATGTCCAACGTTGAGTTACGTGAGAAAACACAATGCCATTTTTCTGTCGTCTTCCATGCCATTCTACCAGTAATATATAAAGTTAACAGCACTTTCCGTTCAAAATATTTTATCTTTAAAGATAATAATATTTCTTGAAGAAAAAAAAAGAATTATTATAACACTTCTTTTTTTAACAATTTGCATGAAGATAACAGAAGTAAATTGTTTTACTTCTAGCATGTAACACATATTGGAAATGACCCTCAAAATGAGAAATATGTTACTAAAGTAACATATACGAACGCTCACGAGTTGTATTATGGTGAACACATTCCCTGTTTGTGGGTGTTAACATTAGATCAAACAAGACTAAATTCTCTTTAAAGATGACAAAAAAAACAATACAATACAATAAAATAAAATAAAATACAGTGTAGTGTAGTGTAGTGTATTGCAGTGCAGTGCAGTGCAGTGCAGTGCAGTGCAGTACAGTACAGTACAGTGCAGTGCAGTGCAGTGCAGTGTTGTTAAGTGCAAAGCAATTCAGTACAAATATCTTTATTGCAAATAAACCATTATAATATTCAATGTTTATAGCAAACACGCATATTTATATTTATGAAAATGAGATCAGATATGTCATGAAAAAATAACAATTCTATTTCCTTAAACGTCTTACATTAATAAGGAAAAAAGCAGGATGCACACGAATTAAAATTATTTTATGATTATACATTATCCCAGCTATTCTCTCTTTATAAGCAAATTGCAAAAAAAACGAATCGAAAGATAAATTTACACGATGTTTTGCGATGCGGGTCACAATCCGATTATTAAAAGCGGTCATGAAATCAGTGAATCGGTCTTTAATTTAATTGTAAGTACATTAAGCGGATTATTGAAGTGTCAAAGGGACCCTAAGATATTTTTTTCTTATATGACCTAAACTAATTTAAAAAGTCAGTGTCTTAATAATTTGAAAGTCTGGAAAAAAAACCTTCAAAGTAGGACATTATCTGAAAAATGATATTATAATAGCCATTTCAAATGATTGAAAAATTGAAGTGCAATGATCAGGATTATCTTTAACATCTAGATAATTGGCATGAAAGGTATTCGTGTGCAAAACTAAAACTTATTGGCTAAAATATGAATTTGAAACTTTTTCTTATACGGATATGGATATATTAATATGTGACGATATTATAAGAGGGACAAAGTTGATGGATTGTGTTTTGTGTTGTGTGTTTTTTAACTCCATTTTATTGTGATTTTTTTTTTTATTTTAAGTTGTCATTTTTTATTTTTCAGTTGTCATTTAAAATTGAATCAAAGGTGAAATGTTGTGGGTGTTAATTTCGGACGAAGTTTTGTATTCTAGATTTAAAAACAAAAAACTATGGATATTATGACTGAAATGACAAGTTTGTACAAACTCGTGGTTTGATGCGCGGTAAATGAGCGTTGTTTTTATCATGCATTGACTTTATATATACATTGTACTTCAAAATTATCTAATCCCTAGATAAGATAGTATCTTTAACCACACAGGGCGAAAACAAATAATCTTTTCAGTTTTTATTTGGGGATACAAGGCAGAAAATGTTAAATCAAATCTAACCTCACTGTATCTAAAAGTATTTATATAAACATTTTAATATCCTCAAATTTACACCGGTATATTTGGACTTATTAAATTAAGTAAATGTTTCATATTTTGTATTCTTGTCACAGTTTTCATTTGCCATGTAGATAAACTATCTTTGCTTCGTTTGCTTTGTTGACATTTGGTATAATTGTTTTGAATTAGTATCTACAAGTATGGAAGTCAAAATACTGTACATCGTTTACATTTTGCTACCTTAACTACACAATACTGCACATTCAGCGCTACTGTCTTCAGCTGTTAAACATATATTTTCATTTTCGATTTAAATTTGAACTTTTTACCCAGAACGGTATAGATACAAGGCGCGCATCAATATGATATCAATTAGATATAAATTCTATATCATACCGGTGAAATATAAAATATAAATAATGTATACATATGAAGGGCTCTAAGTTAGATACGCCACTAGTGCATTAAATTACATTGTTATGGCAATTTTCAATTGTGTTGTTTACCTTTTGGATCAGAATGGAATATTTCTGTCATTTAATACATTCATAAATATTATAACAGGTAGGGCATTGAAAGTATAAAAATCAATGTATAAAACTCGACTACCTCTTGTAACAATTCAATAGACCTGACTATTAAAATCATAAACATATTATCTATGATAAATTTGAGTAGCGTGGCCTACCATTCAACATTTCACCTTTTTTTCTGAACTGACTGAAAGTGACAACTTTTAATGCAAAAAATATACATATAACTTTAATGATTTTATCAAGAATATGAACGTTCGTGAATAAAATGAAATTGGATTTTAACAGTGGACGTCACTGGACATAAAGCAAATTAAAAAAGACAGAAAAAATAACGAAAATAGAACAAAAAAAAACTTTAACGGAAATAGAACAGAAACTAAAGGAAACAAATGGCCTCAAGTGACTTTAATGACTTTAAGGAGAAAATGTCAAACCGGAAAAGCTCGTGCACGGCGTCAAACGTGTACGAACAACGTGGAAAAGGAAGGAGACGTTCCTCTGTTATGATTGATTATTATAGGGAGAATTACATGGGTGCTGAGGTAAAAAAATATCAAACTAATATCACTAAAATCTTCCATTAATATTGTTTTCTTGCGATACATTTGCTTAAGCATCCTTTCTTTTTTTCTTCTTTCTTTCTTTCTTTCTTTCTTTCTTTCTTTCTTTCCTTCTTTCTGTCTTCAATTTAAATGAATTTTGATTGATTGATTGGTTGATTGATTAGTTGATTAATTGATTGATCGATCGATCAATCGATTGATTGATTGATTGACCGATAACTAATGAGTCTTTACATTTTTACTACATACTTTTTTTCGAACGTAATGACACTTTCAAGAAAAGAACATTATAAACGTAATTGTCTTATCTGATATAGCGATAAGGCATAAATGTTTATGTAGTGTTCCTATGAAAATGTTTTTCAACATTTATCGAAACACTTCACATGCAGATAACCTAATGTATTTAGAGAAAGATATATCGAGAACAAAGACAGTGATCTATGTGCGGGCGTCATTTAATGATCATTGATCTTTTCTTAATGTGTTTGTAAATTATTGATTTGGTACACACAGGCCCTTAAGATCTTCCTTGTTTAAAATAATTTCATATCTATTTGGATATTCTGCAAGTGTATATAATGTCCGCTCACATACATTATGTCATCTTAAATATATATATACTGATTATCAAAATACAGTGAAGCAAAGCAAGCGCGAATTTCGTATTTAACATTTTTCATTAATTTCTTAAAAGCTCTTTAATTTTGGTGTACTTTTATAGTAGCCAAAAAGTAACTATTGGCCAATTACCTGAGCCATCTTTATCTCCTGTTAGTAAAGTTACAGTGAATTTGTGTTTTGTTTGGAAATCAAAATACCTCTTTGTTTACATTTTGCTACACTTATGACAAATTATTTCACATTCATAGTAAAATTTATAGTAAAAATCGATTTATTTCTGATACATAATTTGCCTTTAACAAATGTGTGAATGTAATTTTATTATTTTCACTTTCAATTTTATTTCATATTTTACTGTTACTTTATTATTATATTTTTACAAATCTCTTACTGTTATCTTACAGCTATAATTTTACAAATGTCTTACTAAAGTTTTACACATGCCTTACTGTTAGTTGATTACTATAGTTTTACAAATGCCAGATTCTTATTTTATTACTATATTTCTACAAATGTCTGTTCCGATATTTTTACATATGCCACACTATTATTTTATTACGATTTTTTTTTACCTAACTGTTATTTTCTTATTATATTTTAACAAATGCCTTACTGTTATTTTATTACTATATTTTAACAAATGCCTAATTTTTATTTTATTACTATAGTTTTACAAATGTCTGTCATATGCCATTCTATTATTTTTTTTACGATTTTCTTTACAAATACTTAACTGTTTTTTATTCTAACTATTATTTAACAAATGCCTTACTGTTATTTTATAACTTTTTTTTTTTTTGAGGCCCCAACTGGGTAACCCCGTTTATTTTCCTCGTAATAGGTCTGAAGGGGTCGAGGGCATCCCCATCATACCTTACATGTATTGAATTCAATCATAATGTATATATCAATCAAGTCATATAATCATACAAACAATTCAACAAATATATCAAACATATCATATACATTATGTCATTATGTCACATTTCATAATGATTAAAGAGTTAACACATATACATGTAATTAATAAGATTAATATTTATATCATTTATTTAGTTTATAAAACGCAGAAAGAAAAGCAAATTTATTTTATAACTTAATTTTTTAGATGCCGAACTATACATGTATTTGTACAAAAGCCTTGCTATTATTCTGTTAAGTTATCCAATTCTAAATAAAACGTGAAAAATGACAGTCTGACAATAAATTAAATTAAAGAGCATATCTATAATTACTTTTCTAATTTGATTAAATTACAATGCCGTTCTTTATCATAATATAGCACAAATGGTGTCTTATCACATTATTTTCCATTGATTGTTTATCTTTTGATAACTTTATATGCAAAATCTGTTTGAACTAGGATTAGCCCAATCGAAATTTTTACTGTATTGTAATCCCGAACGTGTTTAGACTACGAAAAAGTTATTTGCTTTATCTATGTGTCCCTTAAATATACATGTATATCAAAGCAAAGATTACTTATGTATTTATAGCATGGGAACCATTTAAGACGACATTACTTATTTGTTATAATTAAAACATTCATTATTGATTGTTGTTTTTTGTTGTTGTTTTATATCAAATTTGTAAACCGTAAATTAGTGTTTTTGTTAGCGGAAGTTTATAGATTTGATGGCTTATTATACTGAAATTTGGCGGACATTAGAATTAAAATCGGTTGTGAATCGTCTGCATTTATTGCCGTGTTTATTTGACTCTGTGACACTTATACCGCTTCCGTGTTCTTGGATTTAGAAAATGGTGTGACACTTTATCTAGGCATTATTTATTGAACAAATCGATTGGTTACCGATCGTCAAGGCAAATAAATTTAATCGCTACATCTGGAACTTGTTTATAGACAACTTTACGCGTGGTAATTACCGCCAATTTCTAACCGTTTCCAGGAGACCCGCTGATAAATCACGTGCGAAGAATAGCAGACGACAGTTAAAGGAAATATAATGTGCTAGCGTTCTTTAACATTAAAGTAACCATTTTGTCAGTGGAATTATATTTTGATATAGTGAAAATGTCACTACAGACTCTTAGGGAAGCTGCTAAGGTGATTCGCTTTTTAGAGAATATTCATTTTTTATCACAATTTTGTTATAGATTTTTTAGAAATTGGAACGTTAATGAATTATTGAGAAATAATTATGGTGTTTTTTTAATCAAATTTACGGATAGTATGGATGGTGAAGGAACAGGCTAAAAAAGTAGTTATATAAATTCTATTTTTCTTTGATGTATTGAATTTTATTTTGGACTATCTTTTTTATTTGTCAATGCTTGTGGATACAAAAGCATTACTTAACTTTTCAACAGAAGTATAGTTACAATAAAATTGACGTTGAATAGCTTTTTTTATCTTTTTTCTTTCTTTCTTTCTTTCTTTCTTTCTTTCTTTCTTTCTTTCTTTCTTCTTGTTCTTATCTTTCTGTTTTCTTTCTGAAATATTTTTTGTACTAGAAATAAAATTTCACAGAGTCTGCCTATATATTTTCCATAAAAATAAAGATAGCATAATTTCGTTTTAGAAAATGTACTGCGTTGCAGTTTTCTTGAATCTTACTTTTTCGGTGCATATTCGGTGCAAGTACACCGGAAATGGATGTACACTTTTCTAATTCTAGATAAAATATGGCATGCATCTTAACAAACATTGTGTACAGAGTTCTAAGGACAAAATGTGTTAATCAAAAATTGGTCTTTATGAATAATTGATAAGCGTTTAGCATCAATCCACGGATGAATGTATATTAATGGTGATTTATTCTGTAATTAAACTACATGTACAGGTCTATACATGAAATTGTTTCCCGTCACGAGGTTGTGCTTACATTTTATAAATCAAAACTGCAAATTTGAAAACTTTGCTATTATTTTAAAGTTACACATGCCCCCACATTTGTAGGGTAAGGGCTAACACATTAAAAGGGTAAGGGATAACACATTTATAGGACAAAGGCTAACACGTTTGAGGGCAAGGGCCAGCACGTTAGTGGGGCAAAGGCTAACACGTTTAAAAGATGAGTACCTAGGATTCCCAGGTAAAGGGTAAAGGCTAACACTTTTAAAGGGTAATGGCTAACATGTTTAAGAGCAAGGGCTAAGCCACACGTTTAAGGGTAATGGTTTACGCGTTTAAAAAGGTAAAAGCTAACATGTTTGAGGGTAAGGGCTAACCCGTTTGTAGGGCAAAAGCTAACACGTTTAAAGGGTAAGCGCTAACAGGTTTGAAGGGCAAGGGCTAATACGTTTAAGGGTAAGGGCTAACTCGTTTGTAGGGCAAAAGCTAACACGTTTGAAGGGTAAGCGCTTACACGTTTGTAGGAAAGGGTTAACACGTTTGTAGGATAAGCGTTAACAGGTTTGTAGCGTAAGAGCTAACACATTTGGAAGGCACAGTAATGTAAGGGTTAAAACGTTTAAAAGGGCAATGGCTAAACGTTTAAAGGGTCAGGGTTTACACGTTTGTATGGTAAGGGATAACACGTTTAAAGGGAAAGAGCTTACACTTTTATAGGACAAAAGCTAACACGTTTGAGGACAGGGGCTAGCTCGTTTAAAGGGAAAGGGCTAACACGTTTAAATGGCAAGGGCTAACATGTTTGGGGACAAGGACTAACACGTTTTAGGACAAAAGCTAACATATTTGAAGGGTAAGGGCTAACACGTTTGTATGGCAAGAGCTAACAAAGTTGAGGGGCCAGGGCTTACTTGTTTATAGGATAAGTGCTAAAACATTTGCAAGATAAGGGCTCATACGTTTAGATGGTAAGGGTTAATATGTTAAAATGAAAAAATGTACAAAACTTATTGATAACACGTCTGTTTCTTTATTTACAGATGGGAGAGATCACAGAACAGCATTTAAAAGGTATGTGGTCTTTTTCTTTTTAAATACACAATTTTTTTTTATCTTGAATTGTTAACTGCATACATCAACCGTGAATGATTTAGACATTAATCGTGTATGATTTAGACATTAACCGTGAATAATTTAGATACTAACCGTGCATGATTTAGATATAAACCATGTATTATTTACACATGAACCATGTGTAATATAGCCATAAACTGTTGAATTTTTAGACAGAAATCGTGTACATATATTATTTAGGCATAAATCGTGTAAAATATAAACGAAATTCATGTATAAGTTAGACATAAACTGTGAATTACTTAGAAATCAATGTTTCATTCTAAGTTATTGATTAAGTTATTAATTTAGCTGAATTATTTTTTTCTATGACGTATATAAAAATCAGAAAATCAATTAGACAATTTTAGTGTTGTTATTTTTATCTTCTCAGATATCCAAGACACATTCAAACTTTTAGACACTGACCATGACGGTCGATTATCGAAGGATGAATTATCAACTTTACTACGTTACACCGGAAGTCTGAAATCGGAAGCGGAAATGAAGGAACTTTTGGCGCCAATTGATACAGATCGTAAGGACTTTTTAAGCAATAAGATATTTTAAGGAGTGTAGCGTAGATCTTATTTGATGTAAAAGATTTTGAAAAAGTAAAACAGGAGATCGATTCATTCAATTTCTTGTGTTATATCTAAGTAACAATGTCATGTCCAGTAAAGATTTTATCAATAGCTAGTTTCGTTGTAATGTTTCAATGATAAAATTATTTCTATGGACAAGAAACTACCGACCAGATAAGCATATTTATCGGTCTTGTAGGCGTCCAATTGGCGGATGATTAATCGATTGATAACGCGCACGTGGTGCTTTTATTTTAAAAGACGTTATTACACATAATTATATTGAACATTTATACAAAAAAATCGAGCCTTATATAATGCTAAGTATACAACAATGCAAAAGTTGAATGTATTTTTATGAAGAAAAAAAAATTGATTGGATCGACATACAACGCATAATTATATAGTATGACATAAATAAATACGAGATTTCCTTTTTTTATCAATTTAAAATTAATTGGTTTTAGTGTGGACTTTAAAAAATGACGAAGATTCATCCTAATTTACATGAAAATTTTGAAAACGAATTTAAAAATGAAATATTATGAAATGTACAAAGAGAGTAATTGACACATTGCAATCGGCACTTACATTTCACGTAAACTACCAAAAAAAGTCAAAATATGCAAAAATAGGCTCTACTGCGTTAGTAACGCAGTAGAAATATGGAATGCAAAACAGTCATTAATTACACATAAGATATAAATTACTACTTGAATCTTTAATCTGTTAATTTTTCTTAAAAATTAAGTACAGTTTTTCCTGTAGTTTGATTTTCCTGAAATATTTGGCTCATCTGGACGCATGCAGCTTTAAGAATAAATCTGTTATAGAGAAAAAAAAGTCTTTGAAATAAAAAAAGATATCTCATTTATGAGATATTGTAGCATTATAAAAGAACAATAAAGATAAAATAATTGAATTTTGTTGAAAGCAACTTTTTTATAGCTTGCAATTTTTATGTTTTTATTCACAGATAACGGAAGTATAGATTATGACGAGTTTAAACAATTCATTATAGAAAAAGACATTTTAAAGTCACTAGCTGACGAAGTTTGTTACGAGATGCAAGATGCATTTAATATATTCGACAAAGATGGTGATGGTTTTATTACTAAAGCTGAATTGAAAAAAGTGCTCACAAAAATAGGTAGGTACCTCGTGCTATATAGTGTTGTTTTCGTGGTTATATAGAGCTGGTTGCCCCTTGTGGCTAAGGGGTTGCCTTTATGGTTTACACTCATTGCTTTAAGGAACAGATTCACAGAGTGTTGCTGTAAGCTAATAGTTTCTAACGTATCATAACTGAACAAAAAATAGATTATTTATAAACTAAAGAAGTCAATTAAAGCAGACGCTTAGAATGCATGGCATCAGACTGGTGACGTCATTCTGGTGTGGATAAAAAGCCTTATTTGGACTAGAACCACTGATTCCGCGGTTCATAGAGCTAACCATCTTATTTACCGGGGGTGGGGGAGGGGTTTGAAAAAGAATACTTGACTAGTTAAATTAGAAATAAAATACCATAAATTTTAAATAATCCCACACAAAATTTAGCCACATTGACCTCTAATATTGGTTTTATACTATTGAACCTGGAAAAGCACAACAACATTTACACTATTTAATTTAACATATTTCCCGTATTGAAAAGAAAAAAAAAACAACATTTATTTGAAATCTGTCTTGTAACTACTCTTAATGCGCATATTTTCATTTTGTATGTTTTATGCCATGCTACTTCAAAGCATTTTTTACACCAGAAACTCGCATTTTCTTCACCACAACCTGATAATGACATTTCATTCATATTGTTTACTTTGTTTACTTTACGATGAACAAAAACAGATAAGGGGAATAATTACAAAGAATGGGCTAATTGCAGTGTATTGATTCACGGTTAATGTTGCAAATTGCTATTGTCTGATCGATGGGCATCCACCGCTTCAATTGCTTTTTTCATACTAAAATGTTTCATTGATGTATTACAGAGTTTACAAAGATTCTGAGGTTTTATTATTTCTAAGGTTAATTTCCGAAACCCACGCATTTAAACTTTGCTGTCGGGCTTGTAGTGTTAAGTAGAGGTATAATTGTATCAGAAAGACGACAATTTTCACTGGCGCTGGAAATGTAATGTGTTCCGCACGACTTCAAGTTGATCGTAGAAAATTATTTCCTTAAATGTCAAGTTTTCATTTAGCATGTCAACAGGCTGTTCAAAAATCTGGGTCGCTTTAAGATCGATTTGTAAATACTGGTCAACAAACTACTAGTATTTCATTTTGTACAAACACAAACATTGGCGCTGGCAAAATAGGTTGACAATACCCACCGTTTATATGACTGTTATCACAAAATTGCAATATAAAATCATCATGAACTGATTTGACACAATATTTGAACTATTGAATTGTAGTGATTTTATCCAATATTCCATATGCTGTCAATAAGAGTTTAAATATTGTGTGCAAGACTACATTAAGTGGGGGAAATTCAAATATAGGTGTTTATTAAACATAAAGGAAACCCAATGAAATCGGAAAACATACGTATAACTTTGCACTCTTTATTTTTTCTATATTCAAAGGCCCATTATGCTTCAGAAATGTTTTTATATATATTCGTCAAATGCCTCCAAAAGTTCCTCATTGGCCAAATACCTGAGGCATCCTTATCATCTGTTTCCTTTTGGCATTTGATACAGTAAAAGTGATTTAGTATTTTGTATGGAAGTCAAAATACTACTTTGTTTACATTTCCCTACTTTTATAACAAATTATTACACATTTATTGCTTCTTTCTTCAGGCTATAAGCATATAACATACAATAAAACCATTATCTAAACGTTATAGAATTCATGTTTGCCCTTTCTAAAAAACGGTAAAGATTATTTATATCTGAGGCATAATGTGCCTTTAAAATATCTGATCGAATTCAGAACGAGAAATCATAAACTGGAAATTGGCATAGGATACGGTACCTTTAGAAAAGAAAAAATGTTCTGTATGCAATCAGAATCTATAGGCGATGAATTTCATTTTCTGTGAGAATGCTAAAATCTTTCTAGCGATATAATAAAATATCTCTAAAATCTATTAAAGAAATCTCAATTTCCAAAGTTTGAAAATTTAATGAAGGCCTATAAGTCTGACTTTTCTAATTGTGAGATACATACACAAACTGCATATTTTAAAAGTCCACTATGCCCCAGAAATGCGTTTATTTTTATTTCTCAAAAGACATTTATTTCAGTTGTTTTATAGTTCCAAACAGCAACTGATTTGCTTAAACAGCAACTAATTTGACTAAAATATTTGTGTTGAATTTTGATAACTATATTTTGAAATTATTCGTTTCATTTTTTGGTTGTCTCGTTCAAAATGTTAAGTTAATATTCAGTTTGAGTGCTTGAGTTTAAACTCTTTATTATTATAACGCTACTGTAAACGTCACAGTATTTTTGCAATGACCAGTATATTTGATGCCTACCTTAATCATTATAAAATTGCGGTTTGTTGCAGGTGACAAGATGCCGGAAGAATTAGCAGACGAGTTTATACGAGAGGCTGATCTAAATGGGGATGGAAAAATAGATTATCAAGGTGAGTTCTTGCCTGTAAAGACATACAACGTATATCTTTACAAGGATCCCCGAAGGCGACCATGTCTAAGGGCGTAAGGTATTTTTTTCAATTAACGAAGAAAATTATCATCATAAAAAAGCAACAATAAAATAAAGAAATAAACTGGAAAAAAAAGGATAAAATAAGATAAAAATTAGCATCCAGCTAGTAGTTCTACTAGAATCTGACTGGGTGGAGTTTTTAATGTACATGAATGGGAAAATTAATGTAACTGGATGGAGAAGCTTATATGACTGGATGGGATAGGTAATGTGACCAGATAAGGAATATAATGTGACACGATGCCGTATGTTAAGAATAAGAATTAAGAATATATATTGTGACTAGAAAGGACTAATAATGCGATATATAATGTGTCTTAATGTTACTGAAGGTGCGGTATTTGATGTTTCTGGTTGGTGTGTTTAATAAAATGAATAATTATTTTCATTCTTATTATTTTTCAGAATTTTGCAAACATATGGGATATTGAGAAAAAGAAGTTCATCAACGCTCATCATTCAACTAATCAAATCTACAGAGATAAGAACATGTTCATTCATAGGTTAAATTTGCTCAACGGACAAACAAATCATCCACTTTGAATTGTGTAGACATTAAATAGGTAGAGAACTATTTTAAAATCGAGTCATATCACTGACTCAAGTATTAAATAACGCCATAGTGATTACATTCTGGCATCGGTTCAGAATGACTTTTTCCAGGAAATATGTGGCAGTGGGGTTGATATAAAGTAACAATTATGTTTGTGCCATGACAAGCTAGCCTATAAGAAGAATATGTTCAATGAACTAGTGTAAATCGCGTGTTTTAGGCGATTTTGTTGATGATTTGACTTTCTATGTGTACAACAAAGTGCTTGGCATCCCATGCCTTTATTCACGGCACGGACTTTAATTGAAGCCCGTGCTTAATTGTAATATAATTTTCATTAAAAATACTAATCCCAACAAGTGCAGATTGTGATTTATTCTCAGTAATGTGTATTGAATTTACATGAAGATCTGATGTAACTTAGAAGAAAATTTAAGAAGAAAATGGAGCAGGAATAGTTACATTGTATATGTATATCTTTGTAAACTACAACATGTATTAACCAACATCATCCAACTCATTTACGATTAATTAACCAATCAAAATTTTCATTTATTATTTGATACAATAATCCATATCTTAGGGTGTTCTCTGTAAGGAAGCTATCCATTTGTTTTACGAAATGTTGATGGTTCTTCGCGGGTTCCGTACAAGGAGGGGCACCTGGAGCGTTTCTCCACCAGTAAAGCTTGACAAATCGCCAACACATAAAACATTAACATTAAAAAAAAATATTTGCAAACAAACTTCGGTTGTGCCCCCCGAGTGAAACCCTTAAATATGTAAAGGAAAGAAATGTGTTGGCAAAGTGTGAACATAGTGTGGAGATCCATTTCAAAATCTGTTTCAGGGTTGGTTTTCACAGATGTACATGTATTTGAGAAGGGTTGTTCATAAAATAATTCGTTTTATTATACCTCACGTTTAACGTTTTACTGTATATTCAAACGTGACTTCACGTGGTGTTATTTCGATATGAATTTCACCCGGTCAACAATGTTTTTGCAATATCCCCCAAGGGCGAGTAATCTATAAAGACTTAAGAAAATGTAATGTTCTAGTTCTCTCCCCTGATAAAAATCAATGCTGGCTCTCGGTACATCATGTGTTATTTCAGTTCTCGGGAGACATGCTTTATTTTTATACTACCAGTTAACTGGATAGCTGAATATACTACTTCTTAATGGAGATAAAGACAATAGACTGACAAATTAATATTTTGCTTTAAATTTTTATAAAATTTCTTAATTAATATGCTTAGGTTTCCCTGTGTTTGTTAAAAAAAACCAAAAACCAATGTCGTCAGTTGGGTATAATTAATATATTATGTAATAAAGATTAAATTGTAATATAAAACAGTGTTTTATTTTCCAGGAAAATAGGTAGCTTTATGTCAACGGCAAGATCAAAGCGACCTTAACCTTTGACCTCAAACTGCCACTGCATGACTTGAATACCCCGACACCCACCCATTCCTCCCATCCATGCAGCTTTGCCTGGGGTGTTTTATGATGAATATATGAGAACCTAATTATATGCTTCAAATGTGAAAATCAATACACTGTGGACAGGCATTCTTAAGCATTTGAGAAGAAAGCTTATTGTAGTAAAAGTCCCTGTGACCTTGACCTTTGATAGTCACCTAAAAATCAATATGGGTCATCTACTAATCATAACCAACCTCAATAATATAAACCAAATATGAAGTCTGTTGACCAAAGCATTCTTAAGCAAATGAGAATCTTATTGGGTGGACAAGGAAAATCCGACAGCTGGCCGGACAAGCTGATATACACCCCCCCCCCCCTCTCTCTCTTACAACTTCGTTCTGCCGGGTATAATAAATGGATTTTGGCAATACGAAAGAAGGCCATTAACCACAAAGCGCTCACCTGAGGATGGTATATCGTTTTATGTATATGACAAGTTGGTTAACGTTTCAGTAGTCAAGACCACTTTAATTGACCTTTGACCTCAAAATTCAATCGACCCATTTTATAACCCATGGCCATAATTAGAGTATTTTTTGTAGAAATCCATTAGATGATCCATACTTAAACACATAGGCCTTTCAGAAATTATTTTTTACTATATCTATACATATCAGAAACAAGAGCTGCCATGCAAGTGACGAATGCCCACGAAAAGGTTTCTTAAGCATACAGGTATAATGAAAAGAAAAGAGAATGAAAGTAAATAATTGCTGAATATTGTTCTTTGTATTATTGTTCCTATCTCTTATTGTGATAGCGTGAACCTTCAAAATATAAGACAGTGTGACCTTGACCTTTGAAGAAGGGACGTAGTTTCTGGACGCGACAGAATGTTGTCATAAGATAGACATTTTTTGCAAAATTATTTCAAAATCGTTCAATGCATGACAAAGTTATAGTCTGGACATGAGTCTTGTGCAAGTGGGGACACACAAGCCTTAGCTGCGACACATCGTCTTGATGTGGTAGACATTTGTGCAAAGTTATTTTAAAATCCTTCGATGCATAACAGAGTTACAGTCCGGACACAAAAGTGTGTACCTATAAACTCTATTTGTGATGAAGGGAACTTCAACATGGTAGTGTGACCTTGACCTTTGAGGTAGGGACGTGATTATTGGACGCAACACATCGTCTCTATGTGGTAGACTTTTATGCCTAGTTATATGAAAATCCCACTATGTATGACAAAGTTTACAGTCCGAACATGAATGAAGTGGGGATGCACAGACAGACGGACAGGGCAATTTTAATATGCCTCCCTTCGGGGTGGGGGGATAAAAACATGGCTATGACTAACATTGATCCCTTGAATGGCTTATTTTATAGGAGGTCCACTAAAAGATGTTTGATGCATCAAACCTTCAGCTGTGACAGACAAGGGGTTTTTAGTCAAGGACCTTAACTAGTCGGCCAAATTTTCACTATCATTATTTTTTCTACATTTGCATCTTCTTGTGATAAATTCAACATATTTGTAGCAAGAGGGCAATGATTGCCCTAAATCGCTCACCTGATCAAATCAAAGAAAGAAGTAAAGAAACACAAGTGACAACAATTAAATTCCTTGTAATTTTTTATTTTTTTAAATATAACACATGAAATATGTCACAAATGTTATGGTATTAAAATAAAATTTCACATTTGCAACAAAATGTCAAAGATGTAAATGTTGTTCTTTAAAAAACCAAAATGTCTTATATGAAATCTTAAGATTGAAATGTTTAAAAGATATATTAAGATCTCATAAAAAACATCATCACAAATTCATTTAATTAACAATAACAAAAACTCAAACTATCACTGAAGCTGATCAATACCCCCCATCACCTGTCTCGCAACACTTCCACTAGATGGGTGTCAACCATAAAAACATTAAGTGCTGGCAGTTTTAAAGTATTTAACAAACTATCAATATTTCAAATTTGTCCATTTTAATGTCCCTGCCAACATTAAATGTAATAAACAAACTGGCTATGAAAGTCCTATATCGCTCATCAGAATTTATAGGTAGACTTGCACAGTGTTCTCTATAAAAAAAAATCATTTCTATTTAATATCAAAATCTGAACAACGGATTTAACCAATAAGGTTTTCAATGATTTCTGCAATACGAAAGACAGTTGCTCCATCTTCTTTCAACACAATTGGCACAGGCACAGTGAGGGATAATTTCTGATTTATATTATTAAATTGAAAAAAAAAAAAGACTGTCAAAGTTTTCCTACTAAACAAGACCCTACACCTAGAAGCCATGTTTTTACCAAATCAATCAAGGTACATTTATAAGTTGTTGCAAATTCAAAAGGGGCATAACTCAGTAAAATCTATGCTCAAGTTATGAGTATTGAAAATAACCTATTTATATAATCCCTAGGAGAGGGGTCAATTTTCACTTGAAATAATTCCATGAACTCATACATGTGAAATAGCTATAGCAAATTTATACCAAATCAACACTTGTGGTAAATTGGAGAGCCTCACTTTTCTTTAAATATTCATCTTTGGTCTAGCTACAGTTCTTTGACATTGATCTTTCCCTAGTTATGCATATTCATTTTTAAAGTTTACATAAGTACCTTATACATATATCTACGATCAATACATCATGATGGCACCTATAAACTATACTCATTCAAAGTAATCTGACAGAGGGTATAAAACATTTAAAATTGTTAAAATTAAGTGTGCACTTTCAACAAGTAATAAATTGTGCAATGGTTTTCAACAAAGGAACTAGATGTGCATTAAAACATAGTGCGAGTTATCATTAAGTAATTAAGACTTTATTTCATTTTCAACAATGTAACAACATTACAGACATTTTCACAAGGACATCTCTTACATACCCTAAAACCTTGACAATAAGCTGTACCTTATCTTAACTTTTGGTAAGACATTTATGGCTTATTTTGAAGAAAGAATACTTTTGAATTACGATTGCGTAATAAATCTTGGAGTTAGTTTTTTTTTTTCTTCTTCAAGGTTATGAAATAATTAACCTATTATTAATCACAAAATTATGCCCATTCAAGTGTAAATAGTGAGTGCACAAGTTAAAGTCCCTTTAATATCTTACTACGCAAAAATAATCAATAATCCACGTGACCAACAGAAATGTTCATAAATATCATACAGAATGTCTCCGTAACATTCAATTTTTTTTAACCTAAACATTTTCATTATCAATCACTGGCCAATTAAATCTCATGACATATATACATTGTATATAACTAATTCACTCAAACTTGACAGCGAAAAAAAAATGAGCATAATGTTCCTTGGATATCAGGCCTTAGGTAAAGTTAATTGCTAAAGCCTTACTTTTGGGCCTGCTTACTTTCAAGCTAATTTTCACTGTAAGGATAGGATTACTTATTTTCAAGACAAGCTTAATATCAAGTTTTTAGGATATATGAGCTGCGCCACGACAAAACCAACGTAATGTGTTTGCGACCAGCATGGATCCAGACCAGCCTGCGCATCCGAACAGTCTGATCAGGCTGGTCTGGATCCATGCTGGTCGCAAACCCATTATGTTGGTTTTGTCATGACGGGGCTCATATGTACATCTACCAAAACTAGAAAATTTGTCCATAGGACACTTGTACATACAGACACTTCATTACAATACAATATATCTAAGACATGTAACAATGTAAGACACAAATGCTGCCTATAGGACATTTACAATAAAAATATTCTGTTTCATGAACACTTTACAATTTTATTTCATAAAGTGATACGATATATATTTTACACAAAAAATAAAATTGTTGTCAAAATAAAAATATACATTTTCATACCTACTTTGTGAATAATGTAGTTTTTATGTATTTCTATTATATAATGTGTATCAACATATCACACAAGGCGATGGATGCTCCCTGAACCTATACAGTATATCATGACAATCCTGCATGAACTGCAGATAGAGTAGAGTAACACGGATGACAAGTAGTGAGTAGTGTAACACGGAGGACAAGTAGTGTAACAAGGAGATCAAGTGCTGAGTAGTGTAACACGGAGGACAAGTAGAATTTAACAGTCATTTCCCTTAAGAAAATCTGGCTCATTAGAAAATCATTTTGATAATCCTAAGTCACTCTTACTTCACTGATTTCCAGAAAGCAACAGGAGTTTGTTTGTTTCATTTTATGCCTTTTTCCAACAGTATTTCAGTCATATAGGCGGATAGTTTCCTAACCATCATTCCTGGAGAGTTACACCAGTACTAGACTACCTTCCTCCACGCTAAACTACCAAAGCACCTCCCGGGGATTGAACCCACGCCAGAGAGGTAACTGGATCAGTAGTCATCGACTCTAACCCCTCGACAACGGAGGCGGTCTAGCAACAGGAGTGAAATTTGATTCAATTCATTGGCAAGTCAGTAAGTGACTTTTTGGAAATTATAACAGGAAATCATAATTATATAGAAATTTTTTTTGAGAAATTAAGGCATTTATGCCGCTTAATGAGCATTTAAACCATCTACTACAAGACAAAGTAGGCTTCATTGATGTGAAGGTAGTCGTACTGTAATGCTCTCCCGCCACAAAATTCTGACATCGGCCAATATCATAGCAAAAAGAATCTTTCCGGAACTTTATTTTTTGCAAAATCTTGTGTATTAGATTATTTACAATCACTTATTTCTTATCGATATGTTCTAAATTGATGTTCTTAATGGTTAAAATTTACTGAATTACTTAAAACTGTGAAAAATAACATTCCGAAAAGACCGATTTATTACGACATTGGTCAATGTTAGAAATTTTTTGGCAGGAAACATTTCAGTAAGACTACCTTTAGGATAAACTGACAACTATTATACTCTATCCACATATTTATGAAAGTACAAAAAATGGTAAAAGAACACATATAGTATAAAAAACATAGTATACAATAAAAATATATACAAATTAATGAAATAAAATAAAATTTAAATAAAAAAATAAAAAAAATAAATCAAGGTTTTAAGGCTCATTACAGGTCTACAGTTTAAACTCAATTTTAAAAAGTTTAAAATTTGTAGTCACGTCAATATTCAAGTGTACAAGACCACCATCAAGGCTCTAAATTGCTCACAAAAGCATGTTTAAAACTACAGTTTTGTAGATTTAAATGTGCCACAAACTATAGTACATGCAATGTGAATTCATTTTTAAACTATTTTTTTTGCTCCTGTGACCTACTTGTGCATTAAACTGAAACCATTTATACAAATATTGTAGAGGGCCTTCTTAAAGACATACGAGATATGTACAATAAGAAATCTTTATAAACATGTAGCCTAAAATCCCAATTTTGGAATGGCCAGGAATCTAATTGACAGTAAAATTTAAAATCATCTATCATTAAATACATCTTAATTGGCATCTAATAGGACCCAAACCAAAAACAATATTATAAAATTAAATTAAAACAAAAATATTGAAATTATATACAATAAAACATAATGATAAAGTGTACAGATTAAACAGAAAACAAAAATCTAATGTATGTGTATAAAGTATAATTCTTAAATTTAAGTTTTAATCATGGCATCTGGCCTTTGTAATAAGCCGACAATGTTACTTAAGTTTGTATGCACTAGTCTGCGCAAACTTTGTTGTCAATCCTCTTTACAATATTTACGCATAATTGTTTTTGTTAAGGGACAGAACCCAGACATTACTGGACAATATTGAAGTTTGGTCAAAATCTACTTATTTCAGGGAGATTCTCAACAAATTTTGAAGTTTGAGATATACTGTAAAGAAAATCTAACAACGACAATTGACAAGACAGACTTGGCACAAAACAAGAGGGCCATGATGGCCCTGAAGTCGCTCACCTGTATATAGGCCCCCCTGAGCGGGGCCAGTTTAAACCCCAGGGCTTTTATTTGAACAAACTTGGTAGACACCCATTAGAAGATATTTCATGCTTAACATCTAAGGTCTAGCTGGTCAAGTTTTTTTCTTTACACATATAGTAAAAAACAATGACACACCTGGGGCAGGGCCAGTTTTGACCCAAGGGCTTTTATTTGAACAATCTTTGTAGACACTTACTAGAAAATGTTTCATGCTTAATATCTAAACTCTAGCTATTCGGGTTTTTTCAAAGAAGACTTTTAAGTTTTTGCTATACACATATAAGGAAAATCAATGTCAGCCCGGGCGGGGCCAATTTTGACCCCAGGGCTTTTATTTGAACAAACTTGGTAGACATCCATTAGAACATGTTTCATGCCAAATATCTATTAAGCTCTAGCTCTTTGGGTTTTTTAAAAGAAATTTTTTAAAGTTTTTACTATATTCATATAGGGAAAATCAATGACCCCCTGGGGTGGGGCCAATTTTGACCCCAGGGATTTTATTTGAACAAACTTGGTAAACATCCATTAGAACATGTTTCATGCTAAATATCTAAGCTCTAGCTATTTGGGTTTTTTAGAAGAAGATTTTTTTTGTTTTTACTATATGCATATAGGGAAAATCAATGACCCCCTGGGGCGGGGCCAATTTTGACCCCAGGGCTTTTATTTGAACAAACTTGGTAGACACCGATTAGAAGATGTTTCATGCTAAATATCTTAGCTCTAGCTTTTTGGGTTCTTTAAAAGAAATTTTTTTAAGTTTTTACTATATGCATATAGGGAAATCAATGACCCCTAGGGGCGGGCCAATTTTGACCCCAGGGCTTTTATTTGAACAAACTTGGTGAGGTGAGCTAAAAAGCTCTTCTCTAATCATTATATACATTGTGTTATATACATATATGTATATCAGAATATGTTTTAGAAAGTTTATCTAGTTAAACTAGGACAATTACTTATAATTCATTTTAAATTCCTATAAAATCAAACAACTTAAATCTGGTTTTACACCGATTTTACACAGATTTCAACACATTTTTCTTTTGGTCATATCTTGCCTTAACCAGCAGTACTCGATATTTTACCTAGAATTACCAATTTCTCCACAACTAATAATCTTGGCATGGTGGCCTAATATCCGAATGGTTAACGCGTTGGACTAGTAATATATTAATCAACAGCTATGCGGGTTCAAAACCCCTTCATGGGAAAGCCATTGTTTCCTTTAGCAAGACACTTTACACTTATTATTAAATCCTGGTTGGTTCCAGGAATGTATTCGAATGTGTGTCTATAAGCTTATAGCTTCCTACACAGTCAAATTAAAATAAATTCTGTAAAAACCAACTACAAATCTCGAATGATTTCTGCAGTGAGAGACAAATGACCATTAGCAAGTGTTGACTCGCCTGGCTTTATAAAACTGGAAATGGAAAATCATTGTTGCTGGTAATACTCCAAGAGTAAATTGAACACAAGTTTCCCTTGATTGATTTCATAATATACCATATTCCCATCCCCAAAAATAAACTTAACAACAATACAAGAATTTTAGCATTAAAGGAAACGTTTTCTTGCATATCAGACAGGACTATTCTACCGTTTACACAAGTTGCATGCTTCAAATGACGTCATTCACGCACGCCTTATAAGAATGAATTACGTTCTTAGAATGACATCATTTTGCCATTATGAATGAAATTGTAAATTCATAGACTACTATAAGACTTTTTTTCTCTGATATACGATTAACATGTAATATGCGGGGAAAAATAATCAAACACCGCCTGTTGTTACATTGAGGAACGTCTAGCTTTCAGATAACTGTTTAGTGGCAGAGCCTTGTTAACACCGTAAACAGTTACCCTCCAGCTAGTGATCCGGTCTATACCAGCAGTCGATGTAAGATCCTTGTACCTTTACCCAAGTAATTCTAAACATGTACAATAAAAAACTTACATAATTAACTATAGATCGCTAAATCCTTTTGTACCAAACTTAAGGTAACTATCTGATAAGAAACTACAGAACACATGATAGGTATAAATGAAACATATTCTCAATATTTTCCATCACTATTTTTTTTAAAAATTCTCCTAAAATCACAAAAAAATTGCTCCTTATGACCAATATTGTAACCCCAGACCGCTAAGTAAATGACATAGTCACAACATTAGGTTTCAGAAAGAATCTTCAAACTATAACAATAATACTAAAATATTTCATTCACAGGGCGATAACCCTCCTCACAGTATTTCAGTCAACAAATGAAGTTTAAAAAACTATCTCTAGACATCAACTGCCACATCTCTATCTTTGAACAGCTGTAAAGTCATTAAAAATGTCCGGCAAGAGCATACTTTTATTCCCACCACATAACGGGGGATGAATATGAACACTTTATGAAGTAGAATAGAAATTCAAACTCAGAAATTAACTCTAGACTAGTCACTTTCATCGTTCCTCTGTTCTGCTTTTCTTTTGTATTTAGCCTGAAAAGAGAAATAAACATTTTTGTTATTTCTATTTCATTATTACCATCTAACAAGAGCTGTCAGTGCGACAGCCTGCTCACCTTTTGTCAGTGCTTGAAAGTAAAACATGAGCATGGATAATGTACAGTTTTATTAAGTTCATTAGGGCCATAATTCTGTCAAAACCCATGTTTAAGTTATGGACCTTGGTCAGTGACGTCCTATTATGCTCCTAAATAAGTGTGTGAAGTTTCAGACCCATTCCCTTCAGTAGATTTGGAGATACCAACTTGTACACAAAAACTTAACAAAAGTGTGACACTGATGCAGGGATGATTTACAAAAGCTCTCCCTTTTCTTCCAATATTCGACCGAACAATTATTGGGATAAAATATAGCACAAACAACTGTCCTGTTTTGTTTTTTTTAAGATACCTCAACACTGTGAAATTCCTATTGTAAATTTTCTACTGTACTGGTGGAGTAAGACCTCAGGTGCAACTTGCCTGCCAGTTTTCACCAACTATTTTCTAGGGGGTAGGGTGCCATGGGTGAAAATTGGCTTATATTAAAATGTTGTTACAAGATGGTTTTTTTTCCAGTTAGAACTGAATTGTTCATTATTCTCTCAAGAATGGGTATGAAAATCGAATGAACATCAAAGAATTTTGATGTCTGCAATCATCATTAAACAAAACATTTATCGGCCATTTGCTTAAGTTTCTGGAAGAGACTTGAACAAGTATCTTGTGACATTAATTTTTGTGAGCTTTTTTTACGGCCGTTGTGAAAATGAACAAAAGTAGAACCACCAAACCATGAACCTTCAATCACCGTACTTAGTGTTTTCAAACCTACAGTAAAATATACTGTTGGCTTGCAACCAAACATTGACATCTCTTTAGTGATTTTTTTCCTGTATTTTACAGCCGAATAAAGGCTGTTTCCCCTAGCCCAAAATATGTATATTTCCCCCTTAAATTGCTAATATTTTCCCCTAAAATTCTTCACCAGAACCATGACTAAACAGCAGCTGACTTATATCAGCTAGAAAACAGAAAGCTCTCCCTAATGCTATAGATAGCCTCTGCTATGTACCATGCATGTTAAATTGAATTGAAATCAAAAATTTTATAACATGTGTTCTCAGTTGTTGTAATTTCATTTTTCCCTTTTCTGATTTATCACACTGAATTTTCCCCCTTCAGAAAGCCACAGGTTGTTTTGAAAATTGAAAAAAACAAGAGCAATCAGTAATCACGTGTCGCCTCATGATGGCCAATTTCATGTTGGGACAAAATTTGTGACAGACGGACAGACAGACGGACAGTGCACAACTAGACTTGGTACTGATCATTCATGTAAAGTTTGGATAAAATTGCACCAGTAGTTTATGAGGAGTAGTCCGGACAAGCTTTTGCGTATCTGGCAACAAACAGAAACAAGGAACATCGCAATGCGATGCAACCAGGTTTTCAGCAAAATATTTCACAGAAGCTTTGTCATGAAGGGGAATTTGTTTTTAATTGAACTTTTAGGAGGAATTATGGCTTTTTTAATATTCCTCAAACAAAAATGATTGAGAAATTTTATGTTGTCTATTCGCCTTTTTTTCCCAAATGTTTTAGAAAGGTAAACAGTACTTTATTTTTGCTTAATTTTTGCATTTTTGCGTCTCTTGTCATTTTCTTTTGTCAACAATATTGGCGTGTGGTGTTTTGTGCGATATCAAGAAAAGTATGTTCACAATTTTAAAAAAATACTTGAATGATGTCTTGGAAGAAACATGGGAATTTAGTGAGCGCCAGGGCACTTGATGACAAAGCTTCTGTGAAAGTTTGGTCAAAATCCATTGAGAAATGTAGGAGAAGTTGCGCACTGTAGAAATTGTTCACTATATATTCTGTATAAGGAAAAAATATACAAAGGGCCATAATTCGGTCAAATATTATCCAATCACAAAACCCCGACAATATGTGCCAGGCACTTGAAAACAAAGCTTCTAAGAAAGTTTGGTCAAAATCCGTTGAGAAATGTAGGAGGAGTTGAGCACAGAAGAAATTGTTCTCTATAATATTCTGTATAAGGAAAAAATATTCAAAGGGCCATAATTCGGTCAAATATTATCCAATCACAAAACCCCGACAATATGTGCCAGGCACTTGATAACAAAGCTTCTAAGAAAGTTTGGTCAAAATCCGTTGAGAAATGTAGGAGGAGTTGCGCACAGAAGAAATTGTTCACTATATATTCTATATAAGGAAAAAAAACAAAGGGCCATAATTAGGTCAAATATATATCAATTGCAAAACCCTGGCAATATGTGTCAGGGCACTTGATGACAAAGCTTCTGAGAAAGTTTGGTCAAAATCCGTTGAGAAATGTAGGAGGAGTTGCGCACAGAATAAATTGTTCACTATATATTTTATATAAGGAAAAAAAAACAAAGGGCCATAATTAGGTCAAATATTATCTCATCGCAAAACCCCGACAATATGCGCCAGGGCACTTGATGACAAAGCTTCTGTGAAAGTTTGGTCAAAATCTGTTGAGAAATGTAGGAGGAGTTGCGCACAGAAAGAAATTGTTTACGCCCGCCCGCCCGCCCGTCCGCCCGCCGCCCGCCGACATACCTCAATCTAATAACCAGTTTTTTCCTTCGGAAAACCTGGTTAAAAAACACCTTTTATCAAAGGGCCATAACTCGCCCAAAAATCATTCAACCGGAAAACCCATGCAATATGCGCAAGGACTTGAGCTACAGATCAATCCTGTAAAGTTTCATTGAAATTGCATTAGTGGTATAAGAGAAGTAGTCCGGACAAACTTTAAAAATAACTAGAGGATGCTTTTGTAAAAAAGCGCATGTCTCCCCCACTGCTGAGAATAACTGTGAATGGAAACAGGAATGGAAATGGAGAAATCCGGAAATGAGAAAATGACCAATGGTCACTGTGACCTTAACCTTTGACCTACTGACCCCATAAACAAGAGGGATCATCTGCTCAATAAGACCAATCATCCTATGAAGTTTGAGGGTTGTAGGTCTAAAGGAAATCTAGTTATCATCCGGAAAGGAGAAATTAACCAACGGTCGCTGTGACCTTGACCTTTGACCTACTGACCATTAAAACAATAGGGATCATTTGATTAATAAGACCAATCATCCTATGAAGTTTGAGGGTTGTAGGTCAAAAGGAACTCTAGTTATCATCCGGAAATGAGAAATTGACCAACGGTCACTGTGACCTTGACCTTTGACCTACTGACCCCAAAAACAATAGGGATCATCTGCTCTATAAGACCAATCATCCTATGAAGTTTGAGGGCTGTAGGTCAAAAGGAACTCTAGTTATCATCCGGAAACGAGAAATTGACCAACGGTCACTGTGACCTTGACCTTTGAACTACTGACCCCAAAGACAATAGGGATCATCTGCTCAATAAGACCAATCATCCTATGAAGTTTGAGGTCTGTAGGTCTAAAGGAACTCTAGTTATCATCCGGAAACGAGAAATTGACCAACGGTCAGTGTGACCTTCACCTTTGACCTACTGACCCCAAAAACAATAGGGATCATCAGCTCTATAAGACCAATCATCCTATGAAGTTTGAGGGCTGTAGGTCAAAAGGAACTCTAGTTATCATCCGGAAACGAGAAATTGACCAACGGTCAGTGTGACCTTGACCTTTGACCTACTGACCCCAAAAACAATAGGGATCATCAGCTCTATAAGACCAATCATCCTATGAAGTTTGAGGGCTGTAGGTCAAAAGGAACTCTAGTTATCGTCCGGAAACGAAGAATGGACGGACGGACGGACTGACGGACGGACGGACTGACGGACGGACTGACGGACGGACGGACAGGGCAAAAACAATATGTCTCCCCCCGAGGTGGGGGAGACATAAAAATTATTAAAGGGCCATAACTCTAACAACAAGAGCTGTCACAGGAGACAGCCAAGCTCGACTAATAAAATACTGGACGCAGTAAGGAGGACAAAACTATGAAAGAAAAACCAATTATGTATAATTATGTATGAAGTTATCGTAAAAAAATATCATTTGTTAACATAAATTCCAAGATCAAGGGGAATAATTCTAGAAAAAGTCATGCTAGAGTTATGAACCTTTCCCACAACATGTGTGTAATGATAAGAAATGTATATTTGAAGTTTGAAGTAGATACCTTAAAAAGTAAAGAAGTTATAATATTTCTTAAAGAAAATCCTAAGTTCAAAGAAAGATCAATCTGTAAATATTGCTTCAAGAGCTACGAACATTGTCACATAAAATGTAATTGATGATAAGGAATATCAATAAGTATTTGAAGTTTGAGGTAGATACCTTTAAACTAAAAAAGTTATAGTAAAAAATAACATTTTTCTAGTAAAAAAATCTAAGTTTATTGGGAGATAATTCTTGCAATATTAGTGCTAGAGTTATGAACCTTGCCACATAAGATGTGGATGATGTTAAGTTACATATATTTGAAGTATGAAGTTGATCCCTTTAGAAATAAATAAGTAACAGTAAAAAATAGTATTTTTTAAGGAAAATTCTAAGTTCAAGGGGAGATAAATCTGAAAATATTTGTGCTAGAGTTATGAACCTTGTCACATAAGATGGGGATGATGATAAGGTACATATATTTGAAGTATGAGGTTGATCCCTTAAGAAATAAAGAAGTAACAGTAAAAATTAGTATTTTTTATGGAAAATTCTAAGTTCAAGGGGAGATAAATCTGAAAATATTGGTGCTAGAGTTATGAACCTTGTCACATAAGATGTGGTTGATGATAAGAAACATATATTTGAAGTTTGAAGTTGATACTTTAAGAAATGACAAAGTTATAGTGAAAAATATTTTACTGCACCAAAACTTTAATCTGAAATCTGGACGCCGACGCCGGGGCGAGTAGGACAGCTCTCCAAATACTTCGTATAGTCGAGCTAAAAATCATTGAACCGGAAAATGTTGATAATATGCACAACTAGACTTGGTACTGATCATTCCTGTAAAGTTTGGATGAAATTGCACCAGTAGTTTATGAGGAGTAGTCCGGACAAGCTTTTGTGTATCTGGCAACACACAGAAAAGAACACCTTTTTATCAAAGGGCCATAACTCGGCCAAAAATCATTCAACCGGAAAACCCGTGCAATATGTGCAAGGACTTGAGCTACAGATCAATCCTGTAAAGTTTCATTGAAATTGCATTAGTGGTATAAGAGAAGTAGTCCAGACAAACTTTAAAATTAAAAATTATTAAAGGGCCATAACTCTGACAAAAATCATCGAACCGGAAAATGCTGACAATATGCACAACTAGACTTGGTACTGATCATTCCTGTAAAGTTTGGATGAAATTGCACCAGTAGTTTATGAGGAGTAGTTTGGATGAAATTGCACCAGTAGTTTATGAGGAGTAGTCCGGACAAGTTTTGTGACGGACGGACGGACAGACGACGGAGAAGTGATCCCTATATGTTGCCACTACTCCGTAGAGGCGACACAAAAATCACTGCTCTTAATGTGATATTTGGTTATCAATACACTTAGTGATATCCTACAGAAAACTGTCATTAAGACCGTGTCAAGTAAAGGAAACAGTTCCTCATTACAACAATATGTCTTGGTTAACAGATCAATTATACAACAAGAGCAATCAGTAATCACATGTGTCGCCTCATGATGGCCAATTTCATGTTGGGACAACTTTTGTGACAGACGGACAGACAGACGGACAGTGCACAACTAGACTAAGTACTGATCAATCATGTAAAGTTTGGATAAAATTGCACCAGTAGCTTATAAGGAGTAGTCCGGACAAGCTTTTGTGTATCTGGCAACACACAGAAAAAAACACCTTTTTATCAAAGGGCCATAACTCAGCCAAAAATCATTCAACCGGAAAACCCGTGCAATATGCGCAAGGACTTGAGCTACAGATCAATCCTGTAAAGTTTCATTGAAATTGCATAAGTGGTATAAAAGAAGTAGTCCGGACAAACTTTAAAAATAAAAATCATTAAAGAGCCATTACTCTTGACAAAAATCATTGAACCGCAAAAGGCCCATAAATTGCACAACTAGACTTAGTACATATGTACTTGTCATTCCTGTAAAGTTTGTATGAAATTGCACGAGTAGTTTATGAGGAGTAGTCCGGACAAGCTATTGTGTATCTGGCAACACACAGAAAAAAAACACCTTTTTATCAAAGGGCCATAACTCGGCCAAAAATCATTCAACCGGAAAACCCTTGCAATATGCGCAAGGACTTGAGCTACAGATCAATCCTGTAAAGTTTCATTGAAATTGCATTAGTGGTATAAGAGAAGTAGTCCGGACAAACTTTAAAATTAAAAATTATTAAAGGGCCATAACTCTGACAAAAATCATTGAACCGGAAAATGCTGACAATATGCACAACTAGACTTGATACTGATCATTCCTGTAAAGTTTGGATGAAATTGCACCAGTAGTTTATGAAGGGTAGTCCGGACAAGTTTTGTGACGGACGGACGGACAGATAGACGGACGGACAGACAGATGGACAGACAGACGACGGAGAAGTGATCCCTATATGTCGCCACTACTCCGTAGAGGCGACACAAAAAGAAGAAAAACACTTCAAAGTGCAGGGTTCATACAGACATCCAATGCCAAAATTCAAGCACTTTTTAAACACGTTTTCCTATTGTTCAAATACAATTTTTTGAACATATATCATTTGTAACCAATGATAAAGTAACTTTTCTTCAACCCTTGGATAGCCATTTTTTGTTGAATGCCATCATAAGGTTAATATTGACGAACAACAAAAGTGAACTGTGGTATATCCATACCCAAACTAGTTCGAATCAACTGCAATTCATCCCTGTACTGTTCCAGTTGAGCAAACATTTCATTCATTTTGGTACTAAACTGAATTGTTTTTGTCTTTATCTTTCTTGTTAACTGTTGATTTTTTACCAACAATATGTATGTCAATAATTTTAAAGCATATTTGCAGTAAATTTAAGCACTTTTCAAGAGAGTTATCAAATTCAACGACTTTTAAGCACTTTTTTCCCTATTTTACGCACTTTTTAAGAAAGGAACTCAAATTCAGCACATTTTAAGACTGTAAGGACACTGGCTGTGACAAGGATTTGTAATATCTTATGTATACATACTATTTTCTCCTCGGACAATCTCTTAAACTTGCTTGCAATTTTTCTCCGCACTACATCGTCGTCCATGTCCGGATGTTCGGCTTTATAATCTGCATATTTGCTTTCAAAATGCATCTCTTCTGCCGTCCAAACCTTCCTTACTTTCATCTTCTTACTCTTTGTTGGGCTAGAGTCCTGAAACACATAATGGACGGTTTATTAAAGTTAGCTAACCTGATTTGCATCAATTCAACGCCCTTTCCTCATAAAAAATTGTCCCAGTAACATTTCATCAGCTAATTTCAGTGCAATATGACATATGTAGTATGGTAAATGTCCCAGGTTTACTGAGTATTAAAAATAATAATGAAATATATATGCTATGGTAGTGTTAATGCTTATACACAACTCACCTTAGTGCAATAACTGGTTAACTGCTATTAAATTTAGAAGGACTTAACCTGTTACTGCACTAAGGAACCTGTTAATGCACTAAGGTGATGAAGTGCTCTTCAATATGCTAGCCAGGTTGCTATCCTCATAATCTGATCTTGAAAAACAAACACTTTCCTGGAAATATTTTTAATATTTAGATTTAAAATGTATTGTCTCTGCCATTACTAAATGTTTGTCAGTAAGAAAAGGGGCATAACTCTGTGAAAAGGTTACTCATGGTTCTGGGACCTGTGTCCATCATGTAATATAATCACAGAGAACAAGTGCGTCAAATTTTAACCCATTCCCTTCAGCAGTTTTAAAGATACAAACTTGCACACACAAAAACTATACCAAAGTGCAACACCTATGTTGGGGCGAGTAGAATTGCTTCGTTCTCCCCTTCTTTTTTTTGAATAGTGAAGCCAAAAATAACCACCTGACTTCGAAAAAGACCACCTGTATTTTAAATCCAGGGGTCCAACAGACCACCTATCAAAAAAGATGTGTTGAGGCCTGTAGATATGAATATCAATAGATCTAAAATAAAAGAACTAACCTGGCTGTCATCATCATGTTGCCTCTTTTTCTTTTTCTGAAAAAGAATGAATATTCATGTTGAAAAAAAAAGAAGTTAAATGGATTTTGTCAAGATTGCAACCAAGTGTTAAACCAATGTGCAACCACTTTACACTTGGCTGCATGTTAAATACAAGATAATTACAGTTTTTTTGTTAAGACACATTTTTTTCTTGGTTCAGTTTTATGTCATACCAACACTGGTAAGGTTATATGACAACTTTCCATCTTCTTTGATGGAGAAGAAGACAGGTGCTCCTCTAATCACGGAGACATGAGCAGGTACCTGAGTAGAACCAACCACAGTCCATAAGCAAGCTGGAGTAGCTTCCTCAAATGAAAGAATATGACATGCCTGGTGGGATTCAAACCCACCATTATAAGTGGTTTGAAATACTCAACCTTAAAAGGCCTAAATACTCAGCCAAAGAAGCCCCTCAGTCAATTACTGTCATACTGATAACTTTCAGGGGGGCACATTCAATAATAACCAGTATAATACATTTACCGAGATATTTTTCTCAGTATTTGTGTGCTTGGCAAATGCTGTCATACTGAGAGCTTTCAGGGGCGCATTCAATAATAACCAGTATAATACATTTACCGAGATATTTTTCTCAGTATTTGTGGACCCTGACTTAGTGCTTGACGTAAAATTGGTAAACAAATTTAAGCCCACAATTTTGCATCATTTACACACCATCCTATTTTGATAATTCTTTATATCATCATGAGTAAGTTTGTAAAGTTCACAGATTTTAAGTAAGTTTGTAAAGTTCACAGATTTTAAGTAAGTTTGTAAAGTTCACAGATTTCAGTAAGTTTGTTATGTTCACAGATTTTTTGTCAGATTTTGGTCATATCTGAACAGTCAACCTAACAAGCTTTCCTGGACAAAGATTGAAGGGATTTCAATATCAAAATACAAAATTACAGCTATTAAAACAGTGTAAGGCCTGGTCAGAATCATAAAACAGTGTCTATTCTAAAGAGCGGGGATTCACTCATTTTTGAGAATTCCCGCCTATTTTTTTCAGAGGCAGCGGGGAAATTTTACATAGAGAAAGAAGAAAAGAGGCAGGGGGGAAATTTTACATAGAGAAAGAAGAAAAGAGGCAGGGGGGAAATTTTACATAGAGAAAGAAGAAAAGAGGCAGGGGGGAAATTTTACATAGAGAAAGAAGAAAAGAGGCAGCGGGGAAATTTTACATAGAGAAAGAAGAAAAGAGGCAGGGGGGAAATTTTACATAGAGAAAGAAGAAAAGAGGCAGGGGGGAAATTTTACATAGAGAAAGAAGAAAAAGAGGCAGGGGGGAATTTTACATAGAGAAAGAAGAAAAGAGGCAGCGGGGAAATTTTACATAGAGAAAGAAGAAAAGAGGCAGGGGGGAAATTTTACATAGAGAAAGAAGGAAAACAATCAACAAATGTAATAAAATCTCAGTTTTCGATAAAAATCCCCCCCCTCCCCCGTTTTTTAAATCTTAGAATAGACATTGCATAAAATAGCAGGTGGACATGGCTCTTTGCTGGGAGAAAATGCTAATCACATTTTCGAGTCTTTTACAGGTTAAATGAGCCGCGTCATGACAAAACCAACATAATGGGTTTGCGACTAGCATGGATCCAGACCCGCCTGCGCCTTCGTGCAGTCTGATCAGGGTCCATGCTGTTCGCTTACAAACCCAATAACAAGTAGAGAAACTGATAGCGAACAGCATGGATCCTGATCAGACTGCGCGGATGCGCAGGCTGGTCTGGATCCATGCTGGTCGCAAACCCATTATGTTGGTTTTGTCATGACGCGGCTTATATTATGTTTATATGATAGTGCATTACTGGAGTTTTCAATGGTGTGCTGGTTCTGCCTGTGTCATTCATTGTTGTGTTCATGGTATCGTCCAACTGTAATATAGTAAAAATAACAAGTTTTTAGGTCGAAATTTACATATAGAAAGTAAAATGTAAAAAAACAAAAAAAAACAAGTAATTTTCTTTTTCACTATCTCATGCCTACCGCAAAAAGTTTCAGCTTATGTGATGAAAATATTTTGGCAACTTACTACATGACTGGTTACACTTAAGTCAATAAAAGTTTAAAAAAATCCATTTCATAATGTCGGGTATACAAAGCTTTTAAAGTGGACTTAAAATATGCAAAAATAGGACTAAAACAGTAGAAATGTGATAATAACTGCAAAATCAATCATAAATGGCACATTACATGTAAATTATAACATGAATTTTGAATTCATTATTCCTTAAAAGCATATAGTTTTCTCAAGTTGAATTTTCTTGAAATTTTTATGGCTCATCTAGCCGCATGCCGCTTTAATGAAAATTTAAAATCCTACCTCGCTTGACTCTAATTCTTCCTTTGTTTTAGTAGTCTTCTTTGAGGTAGAAACCTTTGCCTGAAAAAAAAAACAAGAGCAGGTTGAACAGGGTGATGCTCCCCAAATAGGTTTTGGACACAGGAAGGTATACCTCTTGTAGTGTCAGAGTTATGTCACAGACAAAGTTCAAAGTGTAAAAACAACCCAAATGTTGTGCAAGACACATTGTCTCAATATGGTGATCATTTTTGTGAAATAGTTGTAAAATCTGACTTCAAATAACGAAATTATGGGCCGGACATGATTTTGATGCAAGGTCATGCTGTGACCTTGACCTTCAAGGTAGCAACCCAAATGTTTGCATTGCCACACGTCGATTCAATATGGTGACCATCTCTGTGAAATAGTTGTTAAATCCGACTTCAAGTAATGAAGTTATGGGCTGGATACGATTTTGCTGCAAGGTCATGCCGTGACCTTGACCTTCAAGGTAGCAACACAAATGTTGCACGCGACACATTGTCTCATTATGGTGATCATTTTTGTGAAATAGTTGCAAAACCGACTTCAAATTATGGAGTTATGTGCCGGACACGATTTTGCTGCAAGGTCATGCTGTGGCCTTGACCTTCAAGGTTACAACCCAAATGTTGTGCACGACACGTCATCTCAATATGATGATCATTTCTGTGAAATACTTTTAAAATCCGACTATGCCCTCAGCATCTGGGTTTTGAAGTTTAAAAAAAAATTTATGAACTGCTTGCTATTCAACTATATACATAATCTTTATAAACTAAATGACATGTCTACATAAACTAAATGACCACTGAGAACAAGGCCATTCTAATCTTGCCGAGCAGTCATGATTTATATAGCTTGTGTAAAGGTCCAGAAGGCAAAAATCTTTAGGCTTTGTAGTTTTCCACAAAATAATTTAAATGTGTTTTCCTTAATATCTTAAATCTAGACTTTGTAACCCCAAGGATGATGCCAATATTGATCCCCGGTGCATGATTTACAACACTTTTATAAAGAAACATAAGTTTAAACTACATGTAAAATATCTAAGTGGACCGTAACATTTTACTAATTAAAGCTACCACTAACCTTGACCTTTAAACATGAAAATTGGTGTGGCAGGTAGAACTCATCAAAGTGCATTTTTGTACCAACTCTCAATAAAATAGCATTATTAGTATTAAGTACTACCATAATAAACAAAATCTTAAAAATGCAGCCTCCCCCAAAAAGGTCATGACAATAGCTTCACTTTTACTTCAAAATTTAGAGTCAAATAGGGCCATATCTATTTTAAAGTAAGTGGTCTGAAGTCAAATTCGAACTAGAGTTATCAACTGAAATGACAAGCTTAATCCTAAACTTTGTTTGTGCGGGTATAATGAATGCAAATTTTCAATAATAAACCACCTTTCTATGTGTCTCATCTTCAAGGATCTTTTTTATCTCCATGTCGTCAGGATGTGCTTGTGAGTACTCCATTACTTCTTTCACGTAAGCTTCTTTTTGCTGAAACATAAATCTAGCCATAAAGCAGCAGCTTTTTAACATACACATAAAAAGAGCTGTTAGCAGGACACCCTAAGGGTGTAATAATACGCTCACCTCACAATACCATACATAAAGCTGTACAGGGCCCATGATATGATATGTATCTCGATACAGGTTGCCTAGAGAAAATTGTCAGATGTATGTAATCCATTTATACTTTATATTTTCACACAGAATGTATTATGCTAAATTAATTCAAAGACTATTTTACTTTACTCACTTATTACACATTCATAATGGAAATTATCATAATATCTACATACAGTTAAAGTTGACAGTAAGGAATGGTACGGAAAATATCCAACACAAGGAACATCGCAATGCGATGCAACCAGGTTTTCAGCAAAATATTTCACAGAAGCTTTGTCATGAAGGGGCATTTATTTTTAATTGAACTTTTAGGAGGAATTATGGCTTTTTTAATATTCCTCAAACAAAAATGATTGAGAATTTTATGTTGTCTATTCGCCTTTTTTTCCCAAATATTTTAGAAAGGTAAACAGTACTTTATTTTTGCTTAATTTTTGCATTTTTGCGTCTCTTGTCATTTTCTTTTGTCAACAATATTGCCGTGTGGTGTTTTGTGCGATATCAAGAAAAGTATGTTCACAATTTTAAACAAGAGCCATGTCAACATGGCCATCCCCCGCCGAATGTGTTTGCTCATTGGAAGAATGTATATGTAGTAGAGCAGAATAATTCCATTTTAAGAGGTCTTTTGGTAATGAAAACTGATGGCTATAGTGATTACAGATTTGAAACCTATGTGAATACTGATGGCTGAAAATAACAAAGGGCAATAACTGAAAAATAATGCAGGGTAGGTTATCATCCTTGTGTGCTGCATCCCTCCTCAGTAAAATCTATCCACCTATGAAGTTTCAAGTTGATACCTCAAATACTTTTTGAGAAAAAAATTGAATTGAAAAATTAAGTATGAAAAATAACAAAGGGCAATAACTCAAAAATTATAAAAGGTACAGTTATCATTCTTGTGCAGTGCACACACTCCTGAGTGAGATCTATGCACCTGTGAAGTTTCATTTTGATATCTCAAAGGCTTTTTGAGTTATGCTCTGGACAAAAATTAATTTTGAAAAATAACAAAGGGCAATAACTCAAAATAATGCAGGGCAGAGTTATCATTCTTTAGCACTGCACTCCTCCTCAATGAGATCCATCCACCTATGAAGTTTCAAGATGATACCTCAAATACTTTTTCAGATAAGCTCTGGACAAAATAGCATGAAAAAACAACAAAGGGCAATAACTCAAAATTGTATAGGGAAGAGTTATCATTCTTGCGCACAACATTTCTCCTCAATAAGATCTATCCTTCTATGACATTCATGTTGATATCTCAAACACTTTTTGAAGTTATGCTCCACTCAGGGTGAAAAAATTAGGTATGAAAAATAACAAAGGGCAATAACTCAAAAAAAATATGAAAAGGAAAGAGTTATCATTCTTGTGCACTGCACACACTCCTGAGTGAGATCTATGCACCTATGAAGTTTCATGTTAATATCTCATAGGCTTTTGGAGTTATGA